GGGCAGAAGGGGAGATACCACAACTATTTAGCACACGTTTGGTCAAAGGATCGGCTTCACTTGTCTCTTTAACGAGTGCTACGAATGGCAAAAGTCACTGACGATGCCGGCGAAACGTCTGGGAATGTACCATGTCCACGGTCCGACTTTTGAAATAATTATGCATACAATGGACTAAGGATAAGGTGCGTTCCTCTAAGTATTCCTACCAATATGACCAAGTTGCGAAAACGAGGTCAAACAACTTCTACACAATGAAAAGAGACTGCGACCACACAAAAGGTCACACTATCTTGGTCTTCATACCTTCGTTTATAAATTGTATATATCAATTTATCAAATATATGGGAAATATAAAGGGATAATAGGTTAAGGAATAATAAATAAAAAAAATTAATGGTCGCCTTTAGGCTTAATTTCAATTCAACATTTTAAAAATATTGTCATAAGGAAATATTTGTCCAAGTGTGCACATTTAAATCAAAGTGCAACCTTACCTGTCTGACCAAGGGAGCCAAGAGACTAATGATGGAGATGTCCGCAAATTGAAAGAGTACTTCCAACGAGGAACAACAATCTACCAGAGTGGAATCTAGCTCTACATCTAAAGCTTGGAATTCCTCATCAACTTGGCTACAGGGAGCTCCTCTAGCCGATTCTTCGGGCGATAACCGTTCGCCTAATAGAGTATAAGTAGGAGAAGTACGATCAAAAGGCAATAGAAGACTCGAACTTGGCATCAGAGTTTCATATGAGCTAATGGCGCTCATGAAGGTTCCTCGGCGCTCTGCGAACAAAGTAGCTCGACCGAAATCGAGTGATACGGAGGATATTATAAGATGAGCGAAGTGGGTTAAATATCTAGATATCCTGCAAATAAAAACCAGAATATTTAAAGATTATTGTAAAAGGAATATTAAGAACAGAGGCAAGTGATGTAGAAGCCTCGTAAAAAGTTGTTAATTTTAGTTTTTTTGCACATAGAAGAGGTAATTGTGTCATGTCTAAGGATTAAATTTTTCGTTTTATGAAGAGAAGTTGGGTTTCGAAGAATTCCTTAGTAAATTGATACTGGTATAACTTTAATTTCGTTCGAGAAGGCAGGTGGAAGGGATTCGTAGATTAGCCTCGAAAGATAACTAAGGAGGGCTGCCTCGGACTTTTGTCTATTAAATTGTGCGAA